GGAGGGATAGTCTGAGGGAAGAAGGATTCTAATGATAATGTTGAGAGAAACTGAAGGAGGAGGAAGGAGGAGAGGTGCAGAGAGAGAGGAGAGCGGAGGAGGAAGAAAGAGGGTGATGGAGAGCGGAGGAGGGAGGAGGAAGGAGGGTGAGCAGAGAGCAGGAGGAAGGATCTGATGAAAGCTGAACGGAGATAGGGATTACTGAGGGAGGAGGTATGCTATTAGTTGAGAGAAACTGCGAAGGTTAGGAAGATGAGAATGAAGCAGGATGAGGGAGGGATGAGAATGAGGGAGCGATGAGGAGGCTGCTGGAGAGGTATGAGGGATGCATGAGGTGAGGATGAGGAAGATGCTGGGGGAGGATGAGGGCTGGCTGCCGGCATACAATGGCTTCTCACGCTGTCTCATGGCGATAGGTTTCTTCCTGCTTGATCCTTCATGATGTGACGAATCTTCTGCTTGCTGTTCTGGTGTCCGTAGGCAAGCGTCCGGCGTACTGAGAGCTGCGGCGGTCCTCTCGCTATCTCGGAGACGCGTCGTCATGCGCTGATCCAGGGCAATGCACTCCGCTCTACACTCGTACGCATCCAGCCTGCTGCCTGCATGGTAGAAGGAAGGAAGCGCATGAGAGAAGGAATAACATTGAAAGGAAGCGCAGACAATACGAGAAGAAAAGAGGCACGAAAAGAAAGAAATGCAGGCATGGGAGAAGAAAGGCAGGTCACGAGAGAAGGAAGACAGGCATGAAGACCATTACGCCGCTAACATGACTTTTTTCTCGTGACCGGTACATCTACACATCGTGTGTCAGGGACTCTAACACTACGATGTGTCCTGTTCAACAGTCTATGAGAAAAAGGTAATGTTAAATTGAACTAGCAGCTAAAAACCCGCGTATAAGAACAAGATTGTTAAGAAGCATCGTTAGGCTAAATTTCCATTTAGACCTCCTTTTACATAAGAACCTGTTGTTAGGGCTAAAAGATTTTAAATAGGTTCTTAATTTTCCATGCAGATGAAAGACTTAAAAAGAAAGCAACAGTAAAAATAAAAAGAGCGATGCTCGAACAATATCGATTGGCAATAACCAATGCCAATGCCAATGCTCAAACAAATAACAATGCCATGCACCGACTGCATGTTTTATTGAGACACAGTACTTGCATTATTATACAATATACGCAGTAAAGACCCGCATAAAAGAAGAACCTTACACATGAACACTACTGTAACTGGTAACACATGCATCACAGTCAGGCTAAGGCCGCGCGGTAGCGTGGGTTTCAGCTAGTAACATATTTAAAAGTAGAACAATTAAGAACCTATTTAAGAACCTTTTGAGGGCCAATTTTTCAGTAAGCACCATTATATTAAGACAATGTTGAGGCTAACTTGGAGAAAATTTCTAATGTTCTTTAACGCGGTTTTTTAGGCTGTACGTCACGAATTTTCTATGGTAAAATTTGTAAAAATTATTGTTGCATTTATTTTAGAGTTAAAAGTGAAGAACTACACGGGAACTAAACGTCATCGAGTCAAATTCAATTACCATGATAAGATTGTTTTTTTCAAGCTAGGTTAAAAATCGCCAAAAAACCTGGACGATTGATATGTAGTGTATCGCTGAACTTATGTGCTTGGCTATGGCTATGTATGCGTCAACGAGTGTATGTTCACATCGAAGGCAATATATGTAAACAAAGAAGTATAATGCAGGCAATTTACACAATAAAAAGTGAACAGGGTAATGTTAATGAGTGATATATGTTCTGTGTCAACGGGGACAGAACCTGACCCCAGCGTGTTGAGATTCTTTCCCTTCCGCACCTGGAACTTGGACTAAACGGGTGTGAGCATCGGGTTCTCCCGTCTCTCCTTCTCCACCTGGAAAAATGGCTCCACCTTTCTGTAGCAGCGTTTCGTGGAGGCGTCTGTAGTAGTCTGCCTCCTCCCTCGTCCTCCCAACCTCCTCGCCTCGCCACGAGTCCCTCCAGCTGCGCCGTCGTGTCTCTCGCCTGCGTCTCTCCTCTCTCTCCAGGAGGCTCCTCTACCCGGTCGGTCAATGTGGTTGCCGTGTCGCTGACTGTCGAGCAAGAGAAAGAGAAGATAACGATCGTGTAGCGGGATGGTGAGAGAGAGAGGGGGAGAGAGAGAGGGAGAGGGAGGAGAGAGAGAGAGAGAGAGAGAGAGAAAGAGAGCGAGCGAGTGCGCGCAAAAAGAGAGAGAGAGCATGCGCGTGAGAGAGAGAGAGAGAGAGAGACAGAAAGAGTAAAGTAAGAGAAACAAATGAGAGCGGGGGAAAAAAAAGTGAGAGAGCGGAAAAGAGAGAGACACAGAGAGAAGACAATGATTGTATAGCGGGACGTGGAGCCACCGTGCAGTCTATGTTTGTCATGGGAGCGATATGTTGAGTGAAGTGAGGACTGACTTTTGCGATTTTCTAACGAAATGTTACGGATCGAATAATGGGAAATTTATATATATTGTATATATATATATATATATATATAATATATTATATATATATATATCATATACACGTATATTCTTGTAGTAACTGATTGTAACACCTTGTAATAGATTTTGATTAGCCTCAATGTTCCCCTCTTGTAACCTAGCAACGGACACATCTCCGCCTCCTGAAGCCTCGTTTCTGAGTTCCTCAGCCTCTCTGTGGCAGCCTGTACAAATGACAACGTCAGAGGGCAATTAACATCGCTTCATTAATGAGGAAGAAGTACGATCTCTATGGCGCGTATTAAAAAATTCGTGCAAGCTCTTGTTTGATTTTTAGGCTTCTAATAAACACGGTATTTCATTATTTATATTATATCAGAGTTAAACAGTACGATAGTAAATAAATAAAAAAAATAGAAGTAAATAATTACAGTAAAAATAGTATAATAAGTAGGTGTATTAGCATTAATAACTAGTAATAAAATATAGTATGGTAAAATAGTAAAGTATATACTATGATTCTAATTAACCTTCCCACTTACTTGTACGGTAAAATGTAAGGTAATTACGAATTTTATCATGAGGGATCAATTAAGAGACATCTATTGAGTATATTGACAGCCGTGTATGTAGTATAGGTGTGTGGATTATACTGAGATTGGGTCCTGTGTGTGTCTTATACTTTACTAGAGGCCAACAGCCACTCCGTGGCAGCCATGAAGGACCCACGATGAAGGGCCATGATGGGGGAATTGATTTTCAGTTGAATTTTTTTGGCTTTTGTTGGGTTTTTGTTTTTTTGGTTTTTCTGATCTTTTGGGTTTTTTTGGATTTTTTGGGGGTTTTTAGATTTTTTGGTTTTTTTTTTGGATTTTTTGGATTTTTTTGGATTTTTTGGATTTTTTTGGATTTTTTGGTATTTTTTGGATTTTTTTTTTTTTTTTGGATTTTGGATATCTGCGATCTCTCTCCCTCCCTCCCGGGATCTCTCCTCTCTCTGTGGACCTGCGCTCTATATGCCCATCGTGATTGAGAACTGTTGTATGCAATGTGACTGTGCCAGGTTAGGAATGAATTGAGAATGAAGACAGACATGATATTGCGTATAAATCCAAAAAGAGGAAAAAAATGGAAAATCGCAAAAAATCCAAAGTCTGTGTTATTGTGAATTCATTCCTAACGCTGTCACAGTCAGATTGCATAGAAGAGTTAAGGGCACTAAACAAAAATACCCATATACCACAATATGCTTGTCCACAGACAGACGTACGGACGGACGGACAGAGATCGCAGATATATATAATATATATATAGACTAACCATCCAACGAGATTTAGTCTTCCTTTCCACTTGCTGCAATCTCTCAAACTGCTCTAAGCTCCCACTGAAACACAAACAATTTCCTTAATCGCTAAAATTTAATCTAAATCTATTGACTACACTTGATGATGACGACGACGACGACGGGGATGATGATGACAACGACGGCGACGACGACGACGACGACAAGGACGGTGATGATGACGATGACAACGACGGCGCAACGGAAAACGGTAATAAATGTGGCAGAAATATAAATATATTTTATATAATATATTATATATTATCAGTAGTTGTTGATAATAATTGTCATGCTCTTCGATGTTGTTATTCTTCTTTGTAATACGATGACGATACGACGGCGATGACAAGTACACTGACGATGACGGGCGATGACAACAATAGCAATAGTGACTCACGTAGTTTCGCCCTGCACACAGCGCCCTCTGCCTCGTGATTTTTGCCAGCATCCCGCGAACCTCGTCCTCGCACACCGGTCTCCTTCGTCTCCTCCATCTGCGTCGGCCATGGCGACGGCGCCCGCTCTCCGCCGCCTTCCTCTGCACCTCCCTCATGCTCCTCTCCAGCTCTTGTGCGTGCGCGGGCCCGCCCCTTCTCTCCTCGCCGGCCGCTACGACACGCTCACACTCCGCCGTCGTCCGCACCAGTCCTCCACCAGGGTGGCGTTGGCGTCGCGCAGAGACGCGCGCTCGAACGACCCCGCCCCGACCTTTGGCCGTGAGGTCAGAGGTCAGTGCCGACGGCGTGCTGCGCAAGCGCTAGGCGGCCTCCTCGCTGCGCGCCTCTGGTGAGGCAGCGACCGCCTCGACGTCCGATGCTAGCGCCCTGCTCTCGCTCGAAGCCGCGCGCGCACGTTTGCGCAGCGTCGGCACCTCTGTGCGAACAGCGCCCATCTGCCGGGTGTCGCTGGCGGTCTCGCGGCCGCCATCTTGTCTCGCGATGCAGCGAGTAGCCGCGGAGGCAGTGATACGTGCGACGACGGGTGTCGTGGGGCCGGAAACACCCCCACCGGCCTATGGCCGAAGGACGGACCACGCAGCCGGCCGTCGCGGGACGACGGTCTAGAGCGTGCAGCTTCCTCCTCCAAGCGTGATGCGTGCAACAAGCTTCAGCCGGAGGGCTTTGTTGCTCGGAGCTCATCGCCGCGGCATACTAGCATGCTCTGCTGTTGCCATCAACTGGTTGCTTTAATCTCCCTGACGAGCTGTTCTCTCCAAGTCAGCTGCACTCTTCTGCCTATTTATTAGCCTTTCTTGCTCTTCATCTTAATCGTTCTCCCTCGCTGACAAGATCTTTCCCTTAATTTGCCTCTACCCTCCCTGATGCTTCTTTTCCTGCTCTTCTCTCAATTGCTGTGGCCCTCCCTGAGCTTTACTTCCTGCTGTTGCCATTAATCTGGCTCTCGCTCCCTGACCAGCTGTTCTCGTCAATTGTTCTCCGTCGCCTGATCCTTTTGTTTCTGGTTCTCTCTAATCGCTCTCCCTCGCTCTAATCTTCTCTCTTGCTCTTTCTGCACTGCAACTGGCGGGGATGGTAGAACCGGTTGAGGGGGTAAGTTGGTGGTGAGGCGCTCTCCCTCCCTCACTTCTCTCTTCCAGTTGTTGCTCCTCAAATGTCCTCTCTCTCCTGATCAGCTACTCTGCTTAATTTCTCTCTCCCTCACAAGCTGCTTCTCTCCAATTGCTCTTTCTCCTGATCTTCTCTTCTTGCTGCTTTTTTCAAAACTGCTCTTTCCCTGACGCAGCTGTTCTCTCAATTGTTTTAGCCTCCGCTGTCGTTTCTTCGCTGCTTTTCTCTCAATTGTCTCTACCTCCCTGATTTGCTCTTCCTGCTCTCTCATCTCAATCGCTCTCCTTCTCTGATTTTCTCTTTTGCAACGTTCCACCACCGCTCTCCCCTCCCATGGGCTTTTATTTTCTGCCTGTTTCGCATCAATGTCGCTTTCTATCTCCCCTGGCTTTTATTTTGGGCTGCTGTTCCATCAATTCCTCTCTTTCATTGACGCAGCACTTATTCTTAATCGCTCTCCTCCCCTGATCTTTTCTTCATGTTTTTTCAATCAATATCCTCTCTCTCCCTGTTGCAGCTCTTCTCTCAATTTCTCCCCATATATTAATATATATATGTATATATATATATACACGTATATTCTTGTAGTAACTGATGTAACACCTTGTAATAGATTTTGATTAGCCTCAATGTTCCCCTCTTGTAACCTAGCAACGGACATCTCCGCCTCCTGAAGCCTGTTTCTGAGTTCCTCAGCCTCTCTCTGGGCAGCCTGTACAAATGACAACGTCAGAGGCAATTAACATCGCTTCATTAATGAGGAAGAAGTACGATCTCTATGGCGCAGTATTAAAAAATTCGTGGCAACTCTTGTTCGATTTTTAGCTTCTAATAAACACGGTATTTCGTTATTTATATTATATCAGAGTTAAACGGTACATAGTAAATAAAATTAAAAAATAGAAGTAAATAATTACAGTAAAATAGTATAATAAGTAGGTGTATTAGCATTAATAACTAGTAATAAAATATAGTATGGTAAATAGTAAAGTATATACTATGATTCTAATTAACCTTTCCCACTTACTTGTACGGTAAAATGTAAGGTAATGTACGAATTTTATCATGAGGGATCAATTAAGAGACATCTATTGAGTATATTGACAGCGTGTATGTAGTATAGGTGTGTGGATTATACTGAGATTGGGTCCTGTGTGTGTCTCCAGGGCTCGAATTAACCGACGGCACCGACGGCAATTGCCGTCGATGCCCCTATCAATTGCCGTACTGCCCCTGAAAATCCAACCCGACCGACGGCAGTCACCTGCCTTGCCCTTTTCTGTAATTGCCGTCGGTGCCTCTAGCTAGACTGGTTCGCGGCCGCACTGTTTGTCGCAGAGCATGTACATTGTCTAGCAGAGCGTGAGGCCGGATTCCAGTCTACTCTTCGGCAAAAAACAATAACCGTAAACGTGGCTTGCTGCCAACCGCTGCCAGTAGACGATCGATAAATCGTGCGCCTGTGTATGCACGTGGTAGAACACAAATATTTAAATGCTGCATGTGGACTCGGCCCGCACGCGATTTAAAGCGCGGGAAACGATGCTCGCGCAAGAATGGCCAGCTGTGATCTGTATGGTGTGTAGCTTGTTAAGTGCAGTAAATTTAGAGAAGTTTTAGTAGAATTCATATGATGACACAAAGTTTTTCATAACAATGGTCTGGGTCTGGGCTAGTAAAAGTTAGGTCAGGGCTAGTGGTTTTCATCAGTTACTAGCCCGATGGTCTAGTGAAATAAAAAGTTAACGTTGAACCCTGTTACTGTACTTCCATTAGCAGAGGTTGATGTATTAATTTGTTATGAGTTTTCCTTTATTTTACAAAAGTGCCTAGGTGGCCTTCTCAAATCGTGAGAGTTGCCTCGGTGCCCATCCATTTTAGAGAAAATTCAAGGCAATTTCTCACATGCCCCCAAAAAATTGCCTTGCCCCTCTCGTCACCTAATTCGAGGCCTGATACACTCGTTAGTGTTTATATGCACCCTGTATCACTCACTATAGGGTCAAACCTCTGTGCACACGTACTAGTTTATCAGATGCGAGTACGGCCAGAGTACCAGCGAAAAAAATACACGGGGGCTTGGGGCGATTTAGCCCCCAAAATGCCAAAAAGAGCCCGTCGTATTTATCATAGAGTTCAATGCAAACCAAATTTTAGAGTGCTATTTTCATACACGCGAGCTTGAAAAGTAGCCCCCGAAAAATAAATTGTATTTTTTTCCCTGCAGAGTACGGTAGTGGAGGGTACAGCCAGAGTACAGTAGTGGAGGGTACAGCCAGAGTACAGTAGTGGAGGGTACAGCCAGAGTACAGTAGTGGAGGGTACAGCTAAGCTCCCACTGAAACACAAACAATTTCCTTAATCGCTAAAATTTAAATTTCAATTGACTACACTTGATGATGACGACGACGACGATGATGATGACGACGACGACGACGACGACGACGGTGATGATGACGATGACAACGACGGCGACAACGAAAACGGTAATAAATGTGGCAGGAATATAAATATATTTATATAATATATTATATATTATCGTAGTTGTTGATAATAATGTCATGCTCTCGATGTTGTTATTCTTCTTTGTAATACGATGACGATGACGGCGATGACAAAGACACTGACGATGACGGCGATGACAACAATAGCAATAGTGACTCACCGTAGTTTCGCCTGCACACAGGCGCCCTCTGCCTCGTGTTTTGCCAGCATCCCGCGAACCTCGTCCTCGCACCGTCTCCTCGTCTCCTCCATCTGCGTTGCCATGGCGACGGCGCCCCTCTCCGCCTTCCTCTGCACCTCCCTCAAGCTCCTGTCCAGCTCTTGTGCGTGCGCGGCCGCCCTTTCTCTCGCCGCCGCCACGACACGCTCACACTCCGCCGTCGTCCCGCACAGTCGCTCCACCAGGGTGGCGTTGGCGTCGGCGAGACGCGCCCGCTCGGCCGACCCCGCCCCGACCTTTGCCGTGAGGTCAGAGGTCAGTGCCGACGCGTGCTGCAGCGCTACGGCATCCTCCTGCGCCCTCTGGTGAGCAGCGACCGCCTCGACGTCCGATGCTAGCGCCCTCTCCTCGAGCCGCGCCGCCCGTTCGCGCAGCGTCGCCACCTCGTGCGACAGCGCCCCCTGCCGGGCGTCGCTGGCGGTCTCGGCGGCCGCCATCTTGTCTCGCGATGCAGCGAGTAGCGCGGAGGCGTGATACGTGGCGACGACGTCGTCGTGGCGACGCACCGACGACGACCACGCCGCGGCGTCGGCGACGACGGTCAGAGCGTGCAGCTTCCCCGCAAGCGTATCCGTGGCAACAAGCTTCAGCCGCAGGGCTTTGTTCTCGCTCATCGCCGCGGCAACTAGATGCTCTTGCTGTTCCATCAACTGTTCTTTCTCCCTGACGAGCTGTTCTCTCAATCGCTCACCTTCTCCTATTTTTACTTCTTGCTCTTCTCTTAATCGTTCTCCCTCGCTGACAAGATCTTTCCTTAATTTCTCTCCCTCCCTGATCTTCTTTTCCTGCTCTTCTCTCAATTGCTGTGCCTCCCTGAGCTTTACTTCCTGCTGTTCCATAATCTGCTCTCCCTCCCTGACCAGCTGTTCTCTCAATTGTTCTTCCTCCCTGATCCTTTGTTTCTGTTCTTCTCTTAATCGCTCTCCCTCCCCTATCTTCTCTTCTTGCTCTTCTCTCAACCGCTCTCCCTCCCTCATTCTCTCTTCCAGTTGTTCTCTCAATTCCTCTCTCTCCCTGATCAGCTCTTCTCTTAATTTCTCTCCCTCCCTCACAAGCTCTTCTCTCAATTGCTCTTTCTCCCTGATCTTCTCTTCTTGCTGTTTTTTCAACTGCTCTTTCTCCCTGACCAGCTGTTCTCTCAATTGTTCTACCTCCCTGATCGTTTCTTCCTGTTCTTCTCTCAATTGTTCTCCCTCCCTGATTTGCTCTTCCTGCTCTTCTCTCAATCGCTCTCCTTCTCTGATTTTCTCTTTTTGCAGTTCCACCAACCGCTCTCCCTCCCTGGCTTTTATTTTCTGCTGTTCCATCAATTCCTCTATCTCCCTGGCTTTTATTTTCTGCTGTTCCATCAATTCCTCTCTTTCATTGACCAGCACTTTTCTTAATCGCTCTCCCTCCCTGATCTTTTCTTCATGTTGTTTTATCAATTCCTCTCTCTCCCTGTTCAGCTCTTCTCTCAATTTCTCTCCCTCCCTAATCTTCTCTTCCTGCTGTTCCATCAACTGTTCTTTCTCCCTGACGAGCTGTTCTCTCAATCGCTCACCTTCACCGATTTTTACTTCTTGCTCTTCTCTTAATCGTTCTCCCTCCCTGGCAAGCTCTTCCCTTAATTTCTCTCCCTCCCTGATCTTCTTTTCCTGCTCTTCTCTCAATTGCTCTGCCTCCCTGACCTTAACTTCCTGCTGTTCCATAATCTGATCTCTCTCCCTGACCAGCTGTTCTTGCAATTGTTCTCCCTCCCTGATCGTTTCTTCCTGTTCTTCTCTCAATTGTTCTCCCTCCCTGATCTTCTCTTCTTGCTCTTCTCTCAATTGTTCTCCCTCCCTGATCTTCTCTTCTTGCTCTTCTCTCAATTGTTCTCCCTCCCTGATCTTCTCTTCTTGCTCTTCCCTCAATTCCTCTCCCTCCCTGGCTTTTATTTTCTGCTGTTCCATCAATTCCTCTCTCTCCCTAACCAGCTCTTCTCTCAATTTCTCTCCCTCCCTGATCTTCTCTTCCTGCTTTTCTCTTAATAGCTCTCCCTCCCTCATAAGCTCTTCTTTCAATTGTTCTTCCTCCCTTATCTTCTCTTCCAGCTGTTTCTTCAATGGCTCTGCCTCCCTGACCCTTGCTTCCTGCTGTTCCATAATCTGCTCTCCCTCCCTGACCAGCTGTTGTCTTAATTGCTCTCCCTCCCTGATCTTCTCTTCATACTCTTCTCTCAATCGCTCTCCCTCCCTCATTTTCTCTTCCAGACGTTCTCTTAATCGCTCGCCATCCCTGTTCTTTTTTTCATGTTGTTCTCTCAATTCCTCCCTCTCCCTGACAAGCTCTTCTCTTAATTTCTCTCCCTCCCTCACAAGTTCTTCCCTCAATTGCTCCTCCTCTCCGATCGATTTCTCTCTCTCCCTGACCAGCTCTTCTCTCAATTGTTCTCCCTCCCTGATCTTCTCTCCTTGTTCTTCTCTTAATCGCTCTCCCTCTCCTAGCTTCTCTTCGTGCTCTTCTCTCAACCGCTCTCCCTCCCTCACAAGCTCTTCTCTCATTCGCTCTCCCTCTCTGATCCTCTCTTCCTGCTGTTTCATCAACTGTGCTCCCTCCCTGATCTTCTCTTCCTGTTGCCCTCTTAATTCCTTTCCCTCCTTCACAAGCTGTTCCATCAATCGCTCTCCCTCCCTGATCCTCTCTTCCTGCTCTTCCATCAATCGCTCTCCCTCCCTGATCCTCTCTTCCTGCTCTTCCATCAATCGCTCTCCCTCCCTGATCCTCTCCTCCCGCGCTTCCGCTGTGTCACACAGGTCGGCTACTTCCCGCTGCAGTCGCTCCTGCCCCCTGGCGAGCACGTCGGCCACGGTGGCGCCCTCGCGCAGCCGTTGCTCGAGGCGCGTTCGCTCGACCTGAAGCTCTGCTATCATCTCCGTCTGCTCGCCGCTCGTCTCCCGCATCCTCGTGTGCGCAGCATCCTTCTCATCCCGCATCCTCGAGCTCGCAGCCTCCGCATCGCGCAGCCCTCGCTCCAGCGCGGCCCGCTCCTCCCTCAGCCGCGCGCACTCCCCCCGCGCCGTCTCCAGCCGTTCCTTCAATTGCGCGCACTCCCCTCGTACCTCGACCTCTTTCTCTGCGACCGCCAGGTGGCGCCGCAGCTCGTCCTCCGCCTCGTCTCTCTCGCTCGCCGCGTCCGCCAGGTGGCGCTGCATCTCCTCGCGCTCGCTCGCCGCGTCCGCCAGGTGGCGCTGCGTCTCCTCGCGCTCGTTCGCCGCGTCCGCCAGGTGGCGCTGCAGCGCCGCCTCCAGCTCGTCGGCAACGTCCTCTTGTTCCTCGCACTGTCGCGCGAGGCTCGCCATCTCCTCGCGCGCGCGCCCCATCTCGCGCTCGATCACCTCGAGCAGCGCCGCCACCTGCTCCTCCAGCGGCGGGTCGAGGCGCGGCGGTGGCGCCCCCTCGGTGGCGCCCCCTCGCGGCGGCGCCGCAGCACGTCGGCGAGGCTGCGCTGCAGGGCTTCCAGCTTTGCGGCGGCGTCGCGCGAGAACTGGAACTGTTCGCGCGAGCTGCGCACGCGCCTCCGCAGCGCGTCCAGCTCCTGTAACCAGGGCAACGGCGATCGTTAGTGCCGGCGTCGTTATCGTCGTCGTGATGGTCATTGTCAGCATCACTATCGTCATCATCATCATCATCATCACCATCATCATCATCGTCACCATCATCACCATCATCATCATCATCATCATCATCACCATCATCATCATCATCATCATCATCGCCAGCATCATCATCATCGTCACCGTCATCATCGTCACCACCATCATCATCATCGTCGTCGTCATCATCATCATCATCACCATCATCGTCGTCTGCATCATCATCATCACCATCATCATCGTCGCCGTCGTCGTCGTCGTCGTCACCTACCTTGCTCTTCACTATCCCGTCTCCGTGCTTGATCATTCTCAGCTCGCGGTTGACGCCGGACAGCATGGACTCGGCGTGCGTGCGTTCACGCAGCGCGGCCGTCGCGCGACCTTCCAGCCTCCTCGCCTCCTCCGTCCGCCGGATCAGCTGCCGGTCCTGCTCCGCTCTCTCACTCAGCAGCTTACGCATCTGGCCGTTGTCAGAAACTAAATTAGCCTTAGCATTGGTCTTAACATTAACTTTTTTGCTTGTAGACCGTTGTTAGAAACTAAATTAGCCTTAGCATTGGTCTTAACATGTGTACCCGCAGAGAAATGGGACTGGAATGTATAAAGCCCGGCGCACACGGGAGTTATTTTACTCAAGTAAAACACAGAAACGTACTTGTTTCTCTAGATCCTTTATTTTCGTCATCTCGGCAGTGACCACTGGCGCCCTCTTCTTCGACGAACTGAACAAGCCAGGCTTGTGCTAGAAAACGACACGATGACGGAGAATATACGTGAAGAATCAGCATTATTAGGAATGGATGTGCCACATATTTCACACATTGCCATATATTTTATATAGATAGATAGATAGATATACGGAGATATAGATATATATAATTATTATATATATACCCACCTACCTGCCCCCCTAGCTGCCCATCTGCCTACCCACCTAGCTGCCCACCTGGCTGCCCCCCTAGCTACCCACCTGCCCACCCACCTGTCTGCCCACCCAGATATCCACCTGCCTGCCTACCTGGATACCCACCTGCCTGCCTACCTGGATACCCACCTGCCTGCCTACCTGGATACCCACCTGCCTGCCTACCTGGATACACACCTGCCTGCCTA